TTTCCTACTGGGGAAAGAAATGGAACGATTTCCTCATTCTAGTCAGAAACATGCATGCTTCCTGCATATTAATGCAACATGGAAACTAAAAGGCTTACTTCAGACTCATTACATCACCCCTTCTAACTACCCGGAAGAAGTAGAGCCTACATCTTACATTTTGACCCCTGGATGAACAGGCAGTTCTCCATTTTTCTGCTGCTGGTGATATTAGAGGCCAACCGATAGTTTTTTTTTAAGGCTGATGCAGATTATTAAAGAATTGTTTTGCAGATGGACGATATCTAAAGCAGTTTATAAAGGCCGATATATATCCGTTTTAGCAGATTGTGAAAGACGACTGAACACTCACTGTGTGCAATATAAATTAAATAAGTCAATAAATTGCTTTATATTCATTGAACTTCAAATTTAAAACAAACTCAAAACATTAATAAATATGGTGTGTTGGGGTCCTTCGGGTCCTTTCTTCAGTCTAGTGGTGGCGGCAGTTGGCCTGATTTTTTAATTTTTTATTGGCCTTTGAAAATAATTTTGGGCAATGACCGATATAGAAACAAATTGAACATGTCGACTCGATATATCAGCCGGCTGATATATTGGTCGGCCTCTAATATTTATGCAACATAAACCCCACAGAATTTTGTCTAATGTAAAATTCACAATTAGCAGCAGAAATGATAAACATGCACAAAATAAAGAGTTGAGTATTAATTTGACCATTCCACATAAAGGCAGATGATTTGCATCTTTGGGTGATGTTTGCTTGTTTAAAGTGTGGCTTTCGAACTGCTACACAAAAAACATTCCCGGTATAGATTTTGGTTGGGATAACCAAATCCTGCTAAAAAAAAAAAGCTGTGTACTGGCTATCGGCTAGATGAGAAAACAAAAACGAAAGCACCTGAAAGCATCACCACTTACATCCTCTGATCTCAGGCTTTAAAGTTTATTTTAATATAAAATTACTAATAAAATAGGTACATTCAATGTTTGTAACAGTTATTTCAACAATTATGGTTGAGCTGATGGTTATTTTGATAACCATCTTTAACAGAATAGATATCCATCTTCAAAGCTCCTAGAATTTTGTGCAATTTCCACTCAGACACATACAGCTCAAATTTTTAACCAAACTTGGTCATTTTCTGCTTTTTAAAAAGAGCGGGAATCTCCAGTTTAGTTGATATATACCGAAAGATAGATGTCTAGATAGATGTCCAGACAGACAGACAGACAGAGACAGACATAGGGTGTGTACGAATCCACAGGAAGGATGCTTGTAAGAGTGCATTTTGAGGTCGATGACGTCACAGTGCAGCGAAGAGTACTGTCCGAATTCCAAGAATACTCATTCTCGCGTCCTCGCTCCGCCCACATTTCAAGGACGGGTCTGTTGTATCCTCACAGAACAAGGCTATCCCAGCATGCTTTACGCACCAGCTGTGGATTTTCAACAGGAAGAGAAAATGGGGAGAGCTACGAAGTTTTAAACGTAAGTTTGTTAAAAACTAGCCGTAGAAACATAAAAAGCTTAAAGCGGTTCAGTTTATAGGCATTTTCTGTTTGTATATTTGTTTTTTTAAATTACATTTTAGGCAGAAATCAGCCAGAACGTGCTTGTTTCACGGGTCCGTTATTCCTGTGTGTGTGTGTGTGTGTGTGTGTGTGTGTGTGTGTGTGTGTGTGTAGCAAATTAAACTTGTCATTTGCTTTAAGGACAACGGAGCAAAGAAGCGTTTTTATTAAGCTTAGAGATGAAGAGTGAAGCTGTTTACACACGCAACCACAGAAGTTCTTCTGTGTTCTGCTGTGAAAAGTAGTTTTACATTCAGGGATTTACACAGCTGAAACGTTTTAATGAAGTAAAAATTGTTTGTGTGAAGAATATAATTTTTATCTTCTCATGTGGATAAATGTAAAAATGTGTTTATTGCCTTTTTGTCACCTGTGGTCTCTGATTTTCTCTGTAGGACTGCAGGTGTCCAGGGTCAGGAGAGGCTTTACCTGTTGGTCCTCCTGGGAGAGAGGCCTTCTACTGTCACCATGTTAATGTTATTTAGCTGTTTGATATTTGAACACATTTATTAAAACAAATACTAACTGATAACTCTTTCTGGTCATTGATTTTATCACCGGTTTTATTATTACAGATGTTTTTTGAACATGTTACATGAACAGAAAATGAAAAGATGGTAAGGAGACAAGATTTATAATAAGTTACACTCATTTACAGATCAAAACCAGTATGGACCAGTTATGCACAGTTAAAGCAGGATTAATCTGAGTGACTCTTCCTGGATCATTTATTTAAACTGAGTGAGCAGGAAGTCTTTAACAGTGCAGCTGGATCTGCTGCAGGAGGATCCAGACGTGGATGGAGGGCTGGAGCAGACCCGTGGCTGGACGTTTCTGTTCAGAGGAACATCATACAGGACGGTCTGCAGAGAGCTTTGGGACGCTTCCTCTCACTGTCCACTCCATCGTCCATCTACAGGGCCTGCTGGGCTGGCTCAGACGACGACGGCTGTTACATCTCTAAGATGTATTCAGAAATATGAAATAAGGAGATGGTTTATGGATCCACTGGTATAACAATTGTGACTCTTCAGCAAATAAAACCACAGTGTTGTTTTTAATAGAGGTTCCTACATAAATGACTTGCCTGTTAACAGTAGTGGTGGTTTGCTGGTACCTCCTGCAGGACAGAGCACCACTGACCTCCTCCACACACATCTTCCTCAGGCTCATCCTCCAGACCCACAACTTCACCAGCACAGTGCATGCTAACCTGTAATGGATTTAAAAAAGAGGTTGTTTTTAATAGAAAAATGTAAAACAAACCTATAACCTGCAGTACACTGGTTCTGTTCAGTTTAAAGAAAAGCAGCAGGGAATAGTTAAATAAAAACTACAAAGAATTTACATTTTAAGACAGATCTAATCATTATTAGGCTTAAGTTGAATAAACAAACGCACATTGAAAAAACTTCAATGCTATTTTATTAAAAAGCCTGTTTTTTTTTTTAAAACGTTTTACCCCCGTTTGATGCAAATAAGAAGTTTTAAGGTCCAATTTACATTAGAAAACATCCTACTGAATTCAACATTTATAATGCATTTGGTTTATATTAATTACCTACATGACAATACTCTGTAGAAATGCGTTGTGTATGTTTAACAAGTTCATTCTGTAGCTTAAAACATACATGAAGCCATCTAAAGTTAGCATGTAAGTCCTGAAATCTTCTAGAATAAACAAAATTACTTTACCTGAAAACGGTTGTGAACAAACGCTGCTGATGGGAGTGAAGCTGCTGTAGCTCCTTAATATTCGTGCTCGATTTTCGCTAGCTTTAGCATTTTTCCTTTTGCATGTAGCTGCAGGTGTTGTGCCATAAATCGACTCGCTGCCAAAAAATGATAAGCTTCGTTTTTTCCAGTTCGGAAGTTGTTTTAAGTGTTGCTATTTGTCTTAAACGTTCACAATGAGGATATATTAATCCTTTTTGCAATATTTGCGATTGAAAGATGGTTTGTGGTAAGAACTGGCTTTCTTTATGTTACAGCCTTGATACTAAAAAATAAATAAAAAATGTAAAATGGCGCCCTGTATTGAATGTAAACGTTGTATAAATGTAAATAAACAATTCTCCAGCGATTTGATTTTTTCCCCCTTCCTTTCTTTAGTGGCTAGTAATCATTTTTTGGCAGCGAGTCGATTTATGGCACAACACCGGCACGGCTGTGACGGGACCTACGGGCCACCGTAGAGGTGAAGGCTGGACTGTCTGAATTCAGAGCCGCTGGGTTCCGGTCCTTGCTAGACTGGCGAGGACCCGTACTCATAAGCATCCTACCCGTGGATTGATTGATTGAGATTGTCAGACAGACAGACTCACAGACAGAGACAGACAGACTCACAGACAGAGACAGACAGACTCACAGACAGAGACAGACAGACAGATGAAAAACTCCATAGTATAACTTGATTTACTGACATTTTATGAAGTTGGTGACTTTAAATATTAATTTGTGTTTACATTAAAATCAATTCCTAGATTAAAAGAACTGATCTATACTACATAAAACAAAGTTGCTTGAGATGAAAACTTGGACAAATAGCAAACCTGAATAAAGCCACCAAGCAAAACAAGCAAACTATGTGTGCACGTTTTAGCAGCACATTGATTATGAAAGACGATTGACTCACTGTGTGCAATATCAATGAAATAAGTCAATAAATTGTTTTATATTTATTGAACTTCAAATTTAAAGCAAACTTAAAACATAAAAAAAAACGGTGTGTTGGGGTCCTTTGGGTCCTTTCTTCAGTCTAGTACTGATAAACAAGCAAAACAGGCAAAGGTTCATCTTCAAGGGTGTTATCTTAAAATGAAGGCCGATTTTTGAATTACTAGTACTACTACTAATAATAATAATAACAACAGTGAGTTAAAACTTGGCTTTTCTAACAGAAAAAAAACAGGTTTCAGGTGACCTCCTCTGCTTGGTCTCACTATTAAAGAACAGTTATTAAATATTTATAGCAAAATTAAAGCCTTCAAATTGTCCATGTGGGAATTAAGTAAATATTCAAGTAAATTAACAGTTTTTAAAGTACTTTTAAAAAAAGTAGGGATTCATTTCTCATAATTAGCAGCGGACGTTTTCTTCTCTGAAAAACACTCGCTTCCATCCATATGACAATTGTGCAACCTAATTGAGTCAACAGCAACAGGAAGAGTCCCACGCGTATGCACAAAGTTGTGTTGACGACCAAACTTTCCGAGCCACAAACACTCCAAGTCATGAAGACATTTGGAGTCAGTTTAACCTAAAACATGAGTTTAAAGCAGCCCAGTCCACTACTGGAGCCCGCTGTGAAGTTCAGCTGGACTAGAAGTTTCCCACTGACAGCAACTTACAGATAAATAAATAAAAACCTCTCCACTGACTCGCGAACAGCAGCAACACAACCGGCCGCTCCGGTCACTCAC